ATTAATGCCATGATATTCAAATTTCTAACATGTTACATGGCTTGAAAGTTCATTTAATTCTGTTCTAAATCTTCAATGTTATATATGAAACCAAACTTAACGGAATACGTAATTCCACATTTTTCACAAGAGGCTCAACCTCGCATCGCACATAATGAATCGTTACCTATCTGGGGTAAAATCTGTCCTTTAAATTTGATCTCAGAACGGTTCCTGTAGTTCCAAATTTCCGGGATCCCATCGCAGGTTTTTGTTTATCAATTTTCCTTTTGAACCTTTGGACCGATATAATTTTTTAATGTTAAGACTTTCAATTTTAATTTTTTGTGCAAGCTCCGAATCGGTAAGTTCAGGGTCCACCCCTCTGATTACACCCTCCACCAGCTGGAAGGACAGCTCTAATATTTTTGCTTTGAGATGTTTAACTGGGCGGTTCGCTGCATGAAAGGTATCGAATATCACGCATATTTATTCCGGCCCGCTTTATCGATGCTCCTAACTTCATGGCGAATTTTCAGATGATTTTCATAAATTAATTATCCAAGGGACATAACGTACAATTTGGCAAATCTTCCGATAAGACCATCTGCTCGATTGCTTTCTAGATACACGTGAAAAGGACCTTTATCATTAACAGAAAAAAGGTTTTCCTGAGTTATTGTAATACACATGAGTTGAAATTCAGACTACAAAGGGGAGGACCAGGTTGATGTCGCACGGATTTGGATCAAATACTTTTTAGTGATTGTAAATTGCAAAATATCTGACGCGTATCCGCCACTTCTTGTGAATAGGCCCTGGTAGCGCCAAAAAATTTTGAAATTTGAAATTTTCTTTTTTTTTAAATATTTTTATTTATACCGTTCTCCTTTCTCAAATTAACTATGTCAATATATCATTGTACAACATTTTTTATGTAGATTGCAATAAAAATATAGTAAAAGCTATCAAAGCTTATCAATAACCAAAAAATTTAAAATAACCTAAAAACCAAATATTTTTAAAAGTAAACTAGGTCATCATTTTTTTTCATGAAACTAATTTGAAATTTCGTTTTAGCACCTCTAGAGACCCCTGATTAGAAATTTTCGTTTAAATTTTTCAATTTTTGACCCCTCAAATATTTGCGATTTTTAAGAAGTCGTTACACGAAATATTTGATTAAAACGGCTATTATTTAAAAACGGCTAAAAGAATTTTAACGTCAAACAGACCATTTGAGAGAAGTTGAACGTAGCTTTTTAACGACGTATGTACCATAAAAATATATAAAATATTTCTATAAGAAAATACGCAAAACACAAAATTATTTATCAGAAATTAACGTCTTTTTTTAAATGGGAACGATGTTAATGTTTGATTCAGTAATAAAATACACTTGACAATTTCTTTAAAACGAATTATCAAGATGACTATCTTCTCCTAGGCATTGAGAAAAACGATGTTTGTACAAGGAATGTCAGTTACGAAAGGTCGTCGAAATTATCAGTCAAAAATATTAATTTACACCAATTTCCGCGAAAGCCGGTATTTAAGGGTTTTATAAGGGGCGTCGGTGGCCGCAACGGTTTAGGCGTTGACACGGCGCCCATCACTGTAAGGTAAAGATCCCGGGATCGAATCCAGCGGCCCTGCATTCGAACCCGACATACTTACAAATGGGCTTTTTTTCCAAAACACCGGCACCCTGATGGTTTATATGACCTCTGCTGTTGCAAACACTCGTTAAAAAAAAGGTTTATAACGCTAGAATCACGACAATGAGGTAAAATCAAAGTTTTGACCTTTTTCTGACCTATTTTGCTTCCAGAATGTTTGTTAAATTATAAAAAAAGGGTAGTGTTTTGTTGATTTATCTTTTTAAATCATACCAGATTGGAATATTCTGCGTCATAGAACATTTTTGTTTTTATCTAAACCAACAGTGAAATTAACACTAAAAATATTTTTTTAAATCTCTAAATGACGATTTATATTATTTGATGCAGACATATTCCAACAACCAAAAGATAAGCATTGAAATGAGCAATAAAAAAAAAAATAAATGAACAATCATTTTTCAGAAAATATAAGGATTGTGATTTATAACATAAAATTGGAAATTGAACTTATGTGTTTGTGTATTACAGGATTAACGTCAGTTGTATTCTATAGACGATGTGCACCTTTCAAATTCAAAAACTGTTAAATTTAAAATTTATAAAAAAAAAATTCAACCTCATTGGAAATTCACGGTAGTGGTTGGGAAATTTCATAAAAACTTCAAAATGCAAAAATTTTATTCTAAATGAGAAAAAGTGGTGTTGGTGTGAAAAAAGGGGAATGGGGTTAATCTACTATTTCAACTTTTTGTCCTGGGCAAAATTTATTTCCCAAATTTAAGTTGGGATTTAATAAATTTAAGAAAATAAACACAAAAAGAAAGAACAATGAAACAAAACACATGAAGGGAAAATAAACATAGTGAACACTGAACAGCCAAAAACAAAAATTGGACAAATTTTCTACACTAAACAGACAAAATAAAAATAAAAGAACAACAATATAGAAGTTATAAAACAAAACTTTTAACTTACTAAAAAGTACAAAAGGAAAGAAGAATAAAAACACAAAAAAGAGTCAATAAACATAGTGAACAAGCAAATTACGTAATTTTTTTTTTAAATTCTTCTTTAATGTTGAATATCTGCGAAAGGGCTATAATATATATATATATTTTTTGCAATAAACCTAAGATTTCGGACATTTTTAAAAAAAGTCTCCATTCTTTTGAATTCTTCTCTAATATATATAATATATAAATCAAGAATATATNTGCTTTAAAGTAACTAGTTTCTTTTTTTTTGTTTAATACCAAAATCCTGCATTATTTTCCGGACAACCCAATATATATATATACATATATTCTTGATTTATATATTATATATATTAGAGAAGAATTCAAAAGAATGGAGACTTTTTTTAAAAATGTCCGAAATCTTAGGTTTATTGCAAAACCTTTATTTTCGTGACGTATAAGTTGACTTAACTTATTAACAAGTATCTCGTTTCAATTGACACCCAAAGAATTTCGTTAAACGATTATGAACTTTTCGCAGCTGTAAAATATGAAGAATGTGTGCTTATTTTAAACCATGTTGTATCAGAAAGTCTTTAAAGCTGCTATATTGAATAAGTAAGTGTTAACTAAAATATGAATAGTGTTTTGTTTTGCCCTTGACTGTCCCGGAATGAATTTTTATATGTTTAGTTTTATTTTTGGTGTGTGTAATATTTAGTGACCGTTAAGTAATGATTATTTAGAGATCGTGAGATCGCCAACGTTACGATCTTTATGCAGATCATCTTTAGTGCCTGGGATTTATAAACAATATTTAAATTATACAAATACATATAAGATATGACTATGAATTTATACGATGGCGTACACTATATAGAAATTCGAAGTATTTTTACTCATCATAGTGTGTGTTTTCTGTGTAGACGTGCCTGCTGTTGTGTGTCGTATTGAGAGTGTTAGTGATATCAATGTAAGTCATATATTACATCTGTTTGTACAATTTAAACATTGTTTATAAATCCCAGGCCCTGAAGATGATCTGAATAAAGATTGAAACGTCGCACGATAAAGAAAATGTTTTTCTAAACCTACATCACACCAGACCGAATCTCACGATTTCTAAATAATTTTTATTTTTAGGTTTATTTTTAGCATCATTTATATATTATATATATTTTCACATATCATTTACTACAACTTAACAACATGGACATTAGTCCCTTTGCTTGTTGATCTTTTTACATTGATAAACAAGAAATCATTTAATCAACAACAATGCATACATTTTTCTTGTACTATATAAATTTATACATAAATAAATATACAAACAAATAAAATTATAAATATATATCCTTTAATATAAATCGCAAAGATATCTTTAAAAACAGAATATGAATAAATAAATCTAGCAAATTACAAACACATCGTTAAGAAAAATGTACATTTTCTTTTATCAGGTACTTAAGAGAGAAACGCAACAATTACAGGTTAAACATTTTTTTACATATTTATTTATGTAATAATAACAACATATTTCGAAAATCAGATATAGGTTATTACGTAGTAATTTAATTCATTTATTAACTCCCGTCTATTTGTTATAGCTAGCAAGGTAGAACTATGTACAATTTGATAGTCATCAACATTAACAAAATTGAAAAATTCTCCTACTTGTAATTTGACGTTTACATAATATCTCACTCTTATTTGTGTCTTCCTTTTTATTCATGTTACATCGAACATTTTTACCTATCATTCTCATCTACCAGGTGAGTAATTTAGTGGGATTAGATCTCTAACTCTCATAATGAGACATTTGAAATGCATCCTATTCCATTCCCTATATACGCATGTCGGATTAATTCGATAAAAACGTAAACGTAAAAATGAAACTAAGTATGTTACCACCTAGAAATTACAGTAACTCGTAAGAAAGGTATTAAGTGGAGTAATTTAATCTACAGGCTGAATGAACGTAAGCTTTTTTTATCACCCTGGTCTGGTCGCTAGACGGTTTCCGTACATAAAATATCTAAGATACTTTGCTATGAAATTCTGGGTATGGACGATAAGCTTCAGGTTCATCATCTTCATGTTTCACAATTTATAATAATTATTTTTGGTAATTTCTTGTATTTTTCTCCACGCATTTTTTATTTTACAGGATAAGTTATCACAATTCCAATTTTTGCTTTTAAATAAAGAAACTTGTGATAAGAGGTTTTATTGATGATTTCAACGAATAACGTAATCACTCCTTATTGATAATTATTTCGATAGAAATGGCATATTGATTCTACAAATTTGATATTCAGTGCATATTGCGAAAGATCGTGTACCGATATCGTCTTATTCGGTATTTTCTTCAAACGAACGCATTTCTGTTATTTATTTATTGACAACCTCTACTTTTTTTTGACAACTTTCTTCTCTGTTGTAGAAAAATGAGGTCCCTGACGGTGGTTGGGGTTGGGTAGTCGTTGGAGGTTCTCTAGTCATATCGATGATCGCTGATGGTATATCGTTTTCATTCGGCCTCCTCTACATAGAATTCCTAGAATACTTCGGAGCGTCGAAAAGTGCGACGTCGTGGATAGGCAGTCTTTTCATGGCAGTGCCTCTTCTCTCCGGGCCGCTCTGTTCCGCACTTGTGGATAGATTCGGATGCAGGTAATTTTCCCTATGCCACGATTGGAACGGAAGTTGGCTTTATTATTGTACGATTTAACGCAGCTCGAGCGAGTTTGCCAAATCTCAAGGCTGAAAGTTCTATGTTCCAGGTGGATGACAATCGTCGGCGGATGCGTTTCGTGTGCCGGCTTTGTAGCGTCTGCCTTTTCCACATCGATTGTAACTATGTATTGTACATTCGGAATTATTTCCGGATTGGGCCTTGGCCTCTGTTATGTGACCGCCGTTGTAAGCATAGCGTATTGGTTTGACAAAAAAAGAACTTTGGCCACATCCCTCGGCGCTAGCGGGACTGGAATCGGAACTTTCGTCTACGCACCGCTCACGAGATTGGCCATTTCTTATTACGGCTGGAGAGGGACGGTTTTACTATTAGCAGGTATGTTGAAATTTGACTTTTATTTCCTCTATCATCCCTAGAACCTTGCTAAAACACGATCAAAAAATGGTCAGCTTATTCGTATCGGATTGTAACTGCTTTATGCATCTCAATTCAAAAATTTACCTACTTGGATCCATTGGAGGTTTTCTTTATCTATTAATTTGTTGAATTCGATTTTGGAATGAATGTGCGATCGTTGTTGAGGACCTAATCTGAGATAGGTTTTCTTTTTATTAGAATTTCATTATTTATTTATGAGATAAAACACTTATATTCGCTGGCGCACTGATATAGCGAGATTGTTTAAAACATTTTTAGGCCGGCCTCATATCTTTATACCACGCTCCTGTAACAAGGAATTCAGCATAAAAGCAGATTTATTATCAATTTTGTTTTTTCTGTAAGGAGTAAACAATTCTTGGTATGAAATTACTTCAACTAGGGCCAGTTGGACCTCATTTGGCCTCACTGCTTTAGTTGACATTGTTATTGTGTAAACATGTGAAATATAATTGTATTATTTATACACAAATGTTTGAATTGTATTTCCGGGAACATACTGAACTCAAGTTAGGCAGATCCCACCCAATTGTGTATTTGGTCGAATTCGGTCATCCCTGCCGCACGTCCTGCCTGTTTTGGAGGTTCAACAGTTCGCCATGTTAAGCGTACATACCAATCACTAAAGATGAAGAAATGTCGAAGCTCAAGACAGGATCGGAAACAATCACTCATCATAATAAATCGATAAAATTAATGAATGAGCGCGGGATTTTCGAGTAATAACCGCTTTGGCGTAAATATTCCTTTTTAGATTAATAATAAATTACAAGATATCAAGGTGGCCGTCTGCTTCTTATTGTGGTATATCTATAGTAAGTAAGTCATTGGAATTATTGTTGAGAAATAGATATTTAAATTAATAATTTTAATTGTGGTAGATTTATTTATTTTCAGAAAATTAACAGAAATATATAAGGTTAAATTTTGTATTTAAAGGGAATGTGGCGGGGCACTATTACATCCTATATATATAAAACAGGAATAAAACGAAAATTATTTTATCTTTGTAACGTTAGTTTTATAATTTAATTTTCGTTTTATTAAAATAATAATAATAAAATATTAATTAAATTGTGGAAAAAACCCTCAATATAAAGAATTAAAAAAACGAAAATTATTTTATCTTTGTAACGTTAGTTTTATAATTTAATTTTCGTTTTATTAAAATAATAATAATAAAATATTAATTAAATTGTGGAAAAAACCCTCAATATAAAGAATTAAAAAAACGAAAATTATTTTATCTTTATAACGTTAGTTTTATCTTTACTTAATGGATTATTATTATCCTAATAATCTTTGATAAATATAAAATTAAATTCACATGTTAAAGTTTTATCATATCGATCCCGCCTGTGCCTTTTTTTTTGCCGCACCTAAGCCATATTTGGCCTTTTGCAACTTCTGGGCTTGCATTCCTATAAAGTTTTTGGTATATAGACGGAAGCTGTGTTGTTTCTTTCATCAGTTAGCGGTCGCATCTCCTTTCTCCAGCTATCACATGCAAGGCGTCCGGGAGATAGTTCGGTAAGCCTGAGTGACCGCAAGCAAGGCTGCTCGCTGTGCACTTCGAAGCTTAACCCACTCCGCCTCGCGCAATCCTCGTGCCTACGAAAGGGCAGCGTAAAGCAAGACGGACTGACATAGTGCCGAATAATACTTAATTTGTCTTGTCTTCCAACTAATGCCCCATGAGGCACCGCTCATAGTCATGATGGCTGGCTGCAATTCTGGCCGGCATCTGTTCTCGGGTATTAACTTCAAATCGTAAACCCGCCGTCATTTTTACATCCAAGTACGTCAGGTCTCTGGGGGCTTTAATGGCTCGGCCATCAATCCTAATCACCGGTGGGGACCGCAAATAAAGAGAGCCTTTTAATAGCATTAGTTCCGTCTTTTTTGGCGCTAACTGTAACCGTACTTTTCTACAGCCCAAACCAGTTACCGCCATCTCGCCTTGGACTTCGAAGGCCGCTTTAGTGTCCTCCTGGATGATGACCACAAGGCCATCACGTAAGTCTCGCATTCCCCAATTTATAAGGGCCTCGTCAAACAGTACCGACCATAGGTACGGGCCGAGTACAGAACCTTGGGGAACCCTCATCTGTACTGTCCTGTTGCAGTCAGCGCCTTTTTCTTAAAGGTTCACGTGCCGTCCGCTTAAATAGTTCACAATCATAGCTCACAAATCATTCTCAACATTTCGGCGGATCAACCCGTCCAACATGGCTGGCCACCACATACAATCGAAAGCCCTCCTCACATAAAAGAAGATACCAATCACATACTTAGTCGTCGCCGCCGAAACTCGGTCAGCTATTGAACGAATCGCGTGGGTGATGCTACGGCCCGGCGTGAAGAAAATTGACGTGGGCAATCCATGACAACCGAAATCGTATGTCGATTAAAACAGCTATAAGCGGACCGGGATGAACGGAAAGAAACGGCCGGGTTTCCCCACGCAGACCAACAAAAAATCACTCAACATAAACTGCTCAAAAATGAATAGGGATACTGCCAATTTTGTAGTATTTACTTTCCCCAGCATTTTTATTTTAAATGGCATTTAAATTAATTAGAAATTATTATGTTTTTTACTGAAGGAAAATTTAATTAAGGGATTTTGAGAAATAAAATAAAAGGTTTTAATTCTATAATTTTTTTATTGAAGCAAATAATTTTTTTAAACAATTAATACCGTGTATAATGTCCTCTGTTAGCTAAAACCTCTGTGCACCTGTTAGGCATACTATTATAATGTTGTCACTAATTTCATAAGGAATTTCACTCCATGGATGTTGCAACGCTGCACTCAGTTGTGGCGGATGGTGAAAAGCCTTCTCTGCAACGCATCCCACATTTGCTCAATAGAATTGAGGTCTGGAGACAATGGGTGAAGGGGCAGATTAGAAATTTCTGTCCACGAATAGTTTAGTGGTGAACAATTCTGCCTCTATGAGGATTGGATGTTCATCCAGAAATGCCAATGAGAATCCTGGTTTGAGCGATCTATTCCTCGATAATTTCTTGGACATAACGGACTGCAGTGAGGTTGCTATCAACAATATGATGGAGTCCGGTTCGTCCTCCAGAGTAAATCCCTGCTCAGGCCATTACACCGCCTCCTCCAAACTGCGCTGTAGGGAGCACGAACTGGGGCATAGTACGCCTCCCCTGTTCTCGGTAGACTTCGGCGCCTGCTATCACTATACAACCAGAAACGCGACTCATCAGTAAACATAACAGCAACAGGTGTTCTCTTCTAGGCGCTCGTTGCACCATATTCTCCTGAATTGCTGGTGACTCTAGGTCGTCTCAAAGGGGCTACGATGATTACGAATCGTTTGTGTTGAAAAAAAAAAGCCTTGTCAAAATATCTTGTATTTCATTTAGGATGTGGCGGGCACTATGGAAAGTCTTGCAGCGATATTTCTGTCCTCCTTTAGCATCGTAATGCTCTCATATCCACTACCAGGCCTCCTACTGGCACTTCCAGTCTCTCGGAATCGGGGTAAAGCCCGGGAGACCATGCTCTTAGAGACGCCAACTGCCTCTGCAATAATATGATGTAACCTCGATGATTCATTCCCACAATAATATTGCCCAATTCTGGGTCAAGTTGACGTCCAATGATTAAAGAGAATATAACTGGATTTAAATGGAGAAACGTGTTGGTTGACAAAATGGTTAATCTTCATGTTTACTGTTCTTGAGTAAATCCGTTATTAAAAATAAAGAATAAAATTTGTTTGTTTTGTTATAATAAACATGTTTTTTATTTCATTTTTATTGTTTTAATTTAATTTCATTTATTTATTTACCTATCTTTCATTCTCAGATATAATTAATACAATTATTACATTAAAAATGAGTGATGAAGCCCCGAAAATTACAACTGTGTCGATTTGAATTTTCACACACGGGAAAATATTTACCCTAATATCCAAAACACGCGGTCCAGAAAAAAATAGACAGACTCCATGCTATCCTTTTTAAAAAGCTAGTTCCTACTCACAGTAAGTTGTTTTGCAACTAGTTCCTACTCACAGTTTTGCAACGTCCGGATTTCGAGCCCTTAGCTCATCATCAGTTGAAGGATTTCTACAAACACGTCCCTCGACATAAATTGCAAAAGTGAACCCGCCGATACCCCCGCCAACGCGACGTTCCAATGAGAAGCTGGTTTTTTAATGGCGCTCAATTTGAACGTGCGAAAAGCGGGAATTACTACACAAGTAAATATTATAATGGTAAATACTGTAAGAATTAATTATAAATTAGTGATTAAAGATAAAAGATAGAAAATTAGAAAGATACCTTAATATTATTAAATTATTACAAAAATAATAACAATTAAAATAATTAATTTAATTATTTGGAGATTTAATATTGTTTGTGTACATATTTAAAATGGGAGGTAGATCAAAATCTGTTATATTATTAATGCATTTATCACCATGTTCAATTTTACATTTTTTAATTTCAAATTTCTCAAACCAATCTAGTTCTCCCTTTGTTGAAACTGTGTAACACTGTTGTACATAAATTTGAATTGAAATTTGTTTTGTTTCTTTTAGATGGTCCTTAAATTCCGAAAATTTGCTCGATTTAGGCAAGTGTTCTTTTACTCTCGTTTTTATTTCTCTACCGCATTGTCCTATATATTTAGTATCACAATCATTACAATTAAGTTGGTAAACCCCGCTTTTTGCCAAGTTGTCTACCTTGTCTTTAGGTTTTGAGAGGATGTTTTTAAGTGAACCTGTACTTCTAAAAGCTATTCTAAAACCATCTTGTTTAAAAATTTTACTAACTTTTTCTGATAATTCACCAATGTATGGCAAACAATGGAAACTAATGATTCATTTATGGTGGGATGGTTGAGTCCTATTGTTGATTCGTTTAAAGTTAATTTTTTATTCTTTTAACTAGCAACCTATCAATAAATATTTCTAGATACCCATTGTTTTTTGCTAAGGTTTTAATAGTTTCTAATTATTTTTTATAGTTGGCAGTTGTTAACGGAAGTTTTAACATACAGTCTATGAGCCAAATGAAACCAGCAGTCTTTTGGGTGGGAAGAATCTGCTGGTATCATAGTGTCTGCAGTTGTGGGTTTTCTATAAATGTCTATTTCTATTAGGTTGTTTATTATGGACAATTTTAGGTCTAAAAAGTTCAAACAACCATGTTTTTTAATTTCCAATGTAAAATTTATATTACGGTGTAGAGAATTAATTAGTTGGAGGAATTCTTTGAGATCCTCTAATGTACCCGACCATATGCATAAAATATTGTCTACATAGCGTTTCCAAAAATGAACAGATTTAATTAATTTGTTCTTTGATTTGAAAAGATTTTTTTCGAAATTATTCATGAATATTTCAGTACAAAGTGGGGATAATGAAGACCCCATTGGTAACCCTTTCATTTCATAATATTTATTATTGAATTTACAATAATTAGATAGTAGGCATATATTTAAGAGGTCTATTATATCATTTTTTACAAATTCGTTAATAGAATTCTCAGTAATTTCGGTAGTTCTCGAAAAAAAACTCTGTGATAGTTGCAATTTTAATGGATGTACTGCAGTATAAAAACCAAATTGTGAATCTAATAGATCAAATTTGATGCTCTCGACTTGTCATCATCTCGATAAACATTTGTGTAGTTGGATTTGGTTTTATATTGGTTCAAATCCACACATGTATGTACATACATACAAACATGTGGCGAGTTGAGCCTATTCGCTTCCTGTAGTCCACCGGCATTTCCAGCTTTTGCAGTTTACAGTAAACTGTAGACTCGAGAATCACCCATCGAGGCTGGGCTCCGAGAGGGCGGCTGTCAATGGCTAGGTCAATTCAACACCATCGCATGCAGTTCCAAACCCATTCGTACGCACATTCATTCTTAAATACATTCACCCCTATTTACATACCGTTTATTCAATTAGGGTGCTGGATAACTCGATATTCTTCTATCACTCTTTGCAAATATTTATATAACTAACCTAATTGTATGTACCAGATATACGCGTGCTTTGACCCAAAAGTAAGTGTCCGTATGTTAATCTCGCATAGCCTATTCTTAACTGGGGCAGGATATGTGCCGATGCCTATGGTTCTTCCTGACAGAGACATCATGTTTCCGTCTCTACTATGCTCACCCTCTTTAGGTGGTCGGTAAGGGGGTACAGTGGCTGGTATAGAGGCCTATAATTTTTCTTAAATCTTGACTGCTGAGGAGTGGAGTTCCTTCACCTTACTTTTTGAGCATTTTATAGATGAATGTGAATACATATTGAATGTGTGCTGTAATATTTAGCATGCCCTCGGGGCTGAAATATTAAAAATTTAAAAAAAAACAAAAAAAACAATACTTGAATGCGAGGGGTCCACTCTACATTTTGTTTTGTGAAATGAGTCCGCCGGTTAAAAAGTTCTGGAAGCCCTGTGGCATGTTATTATTTTATTATTGTCAATGTTTAATATTTCAATTTTTTTTTACGTTCTTTGTCTTTCTTGTACCTATTGTTATAAAATTGCCTGTAAATAAATAAATAAATGAGATCTTTTCTTCCCCCCAGGTACATTTCTGAACATGTGCGTCTGCGGGGCGTTAATGAGGGATCCCGACTGGTGGATCGAAGCGCAAAAATCATCTCGTGCGAGTTCGCTTTGCCACGATTTGGATGAACTTAAGCGGATGCTCGAAGCGGGTACCATGAGCAACGATTACGTCCGACCACCTTTGACACCGATCGCCGAACAGAGCTACCACTCACTAGTCAACATCCCCACATTCGTAGAGTCCACCGACAAAGTGAGTATTGCACGATTTTTCAATCTAGCTATTAAACCTTTTTTTCCATAGTGAACATTTAAAAATTACTTCATATAATAAAAATGTTGAGGAGGTCTTCTTAACCGATGAGAAAAAATGAACAACCAAATGATCTAATTTAATTTTTTTTTTAATGACTTTTTGTTAAAACCTTACTTTGAGGTGATGCTTGATATCTTACCCTTCTCCACTTACCACATTTTTGGTCAAAAATAAGTCTACATATACTGGAGTATAAATCACTTAGACCCTTTCCTGTTACACATTTTATTGTAATGTTGTAAAACCTCAAGACTATTATTTTTTGAAAAATTGACTCTTCTCCTGCGATCATATGTATCTGCTACTAACTCAATATCGTCCCTCCTCAAAATCTTAGCTTTTAACCCCGTAAAATGGATATTTTATTTTTTCAACAATCGGAAAACGATTCAGGTGCCACCAGAACTAGTCGAGCACCTCCTGGGGAAAGAGCAGGCGTTAAGGTTGGCGAACCCGGGGAGGATTTTGGAAGAGCGCGATAAGACAAAAAGCAAAAGTTTATCAGGGAGGCTTAATTCGATGTCGGAAGGAGATGCAAACAGTCCTAAATCGGGACGGGAAATGACAGACGTACCTGAGGTCATAGTCGACCATTTCAAAACTGCAAACAGCCGTAGTCACGTTACCCGCCCTTGGGCTCACCGTTTAAGAAATATCCGTGTTCACAGGTAGAGTTTATTTATTAAATATATCCACTATTCTTTTCATAATTGAAAAATGTATTGTTTCGCAGGAATTCTGTTATGTACAGAGGAGCGATTCTGAACATGCACAAATACAGACTGACGGTCTCTTCGTGTCCAGACATTTTCAAGAATTCTATGACGACCATCGCCAAGGAAGGAGCCGAGGTAACGTGGTTCTCATTGAAATAACACTCTTATCTTGGAATTAAACATGTTTTTTTAAAGACTTGGAAAGACGAACTGGTAGACCTTCTAGAAGGTATGACGGATTTTTCGATGTTCGGCGACCTACATTTCCTCCTGATGTCATTGTCAACTACACTACTTTTCATATGGTTTATCGTTCCTTACTTTTACCTTGCCGATTATATGACCACCCTCGGCTACACCGAAGAAAAAGGATCGTTCATTCTTGCCGCTATCGGTATAGCGAACACTTTTGGAATGGTAGGGATTAACAATTCGAAAAATTATCTGTTTTAAATTAAAACATCACATTTCTTTTTCACAGGTCATCATGGGGTGGGTTGGAGACAAACCATGGCTTAACGTTACTAAAACATACGCAGGATGTCTTATATTAACAGGTAAAATGTGTGTTTCTTAAGACTGGTTGTTTCATAATTTGTTGAAGTCGTGAAGAGCGGTCAAGAATGAGGTAATTTAGAAAAACTATTTTATATTTTTTTTGCTGCGTTTCAACCTTTCTTCTAGTCATCTTCAGGGCATAAAGTGTGGTGCTATTCTTGTGGTGTCATATTGGTTTGGTGCAAGCACAACACTTTCACACAAAACCAATATGACTACAAAAATAGCACCACACTTTATGCCCTGAAGATGACCCGAATAAAGGTTGAAACGTAGGGAAAACAGGTGTTTTTCTAAACTACCTAATTCTTAACGACTTCAACAAATTATTAACAGGTAATTTATATATTTATTTTTCCCGAATTGTCTTCTGGTATTAATTGGTAATGTATCATAAGGTCTCCAATGTGTTTCTTAAAGAATGAGTCATTTTCTGAAAGAAGGATTTCTTGGCATAAATTCAATTTGATAATAAATTAGTAATTAGTAATCTGTCTATTCTCGCTAACTTTTTCCTTCGGAGGTGCGTTTGTAAAAGCAACGAGAATAGTAATGATCTAAGTATAAGTTCATCAACTTGGAGGTCTCATTATTGCTGAGTGTATATCTCATCATTGCATCATCGCATGTCATCATTGCTGGTTTAAAAAAAAAAAATTTTTAGGCTTGTTTACATTGATAATGCCGTTAGTGTCTGGGAATATGGTTACTTTGACACTCGCTTCAGTAGGCTTCGGGATGTTCGTCTCTTCCAATTTTTCATTCACCCCTACGATACTCGTCGAACTGATAGCTCTGGATCGTTTCACGACTGCTTACGGCTTGACTCTGCTTTGCCAAGGGATCGGCACACTCATCGGCCCGCCGCTTGCCGGTAAGCTCTTCTTCTCTTAAGCTTACAACCTAGGACTAACCGATTTTCGTCCTTAAGGTTGGATATTTGACTTGACGCAAAGCTGGGATCTGTCCTTCTACATGGCCGGCGGATGGATCGTGATAGCCGGTGTTTTGATGGCGGTGATACCCGCTGTCAAAACTGTCAGACTTTGGGGTTCGGAGTCGCAATCGGAATCGCAAAGTCGCAGCGTGACCACTTAGGCCGGTGGTTTCTTCCCATCATTACACTTTCACAAGTGGCCTTCGTACGTGCCTCTCAAAGAAAAACAAACAAATGTCATCTTTTAGTCATATTACAAAAAGATGGATCGAACAAATATTTTTTTTTTGTAATAAATATCAAATATTGTAGAATTATAAAAGATTTAACAGTATTTTAGGATTTACTTTTATTACCATAAAATGCGAGCTTTAAAATCATATAACTTATTGTGTATGAGATTTTTGTTTTCTTTAAGTCATTTTAGTAATTATTTTTTGAAGAGTAAGAAAAATGTACAAGTGATATATGTTTTTTTCATACAGTATTCTTTTCACTTAGTGAATTTTTAAAGACTGTTTCGTCAAATTTATTTTTAAGATTTGTTAATGTTTCAATCAATAAAAAATACCTTGTTGACTATATCGTATTACTTTTTTTTTAAGTTTAGCACTCCTTGTTGAATTTAACTATCATTCGATTTCTCAAATCAAAATAACCTCAGCCTCTTAGTAGTGTGCTGTTATGAAAAATCTTGACCTATTGGAAATGAAGGATATCCAATCAATATCATGACAATGGAATCAGTGATACCACAATGGAAAACACAAACAATTAATTGTCTCAAGAACTATCACGATATAAACAAATTACACACATCTTCTCAACATTTTTTATAAAATAAAACAAAGATAAATGAATTCTTAATAATAAAAAAAAATGCTTTACGAGCTCCCCCTTTTGGGTCACACTCGCTCTCCCCCCAGAAACCAACCGTCCCTATCGCATATTCCGAGCCAACTCCAAGAGAATAATCCACCCCTCTTCTGTGGTGTCTCCGGGTGAGACCCTCCAAGAAGCAACCATCCCTCAGAGCTGTGGACGAACGACCGACCCAAGCTTCACAAGTTCACCTTTTCAGGATTCACCCTTGCACGCCCCGACTACATTTGCTACCACACTTTCCACAAGTCCAACAACCACGAGAGAACGATCAACCCCTCTTCTGTGGTATCTCCAAAGAAATCCTCCAAGTGGCAACCATCCCCCGAAGTCGCAGACGGACGGCCGTCCCGGGCTTCATGAGCTCACCTTTTCAGGATTCACCCAGACACGACCGCCCCAACAGTATTTGCTATACCACCTTCATCGAAACGAGCAGGCTGCGGTCCTCTTTTTGTTCAGACTCCTAAGAGACCCTAACAGTGGCGCCACGAGTAGGCAAGAGGCCGCTGAAACGGGATAGTTTATTTGTTGCACTTTACCGTTCCTCATCCATCTTCTGTACGCATTCGGGGGACTCCGTAGACGTAGTCTCAGCGTCCTCGACGCTATACGCTCGGTGGTCCGATCCTTCGTTTCCCGCGAGGCCGGGGGTGACGACGAAGATCGTACGCACAGGCGTAGGTGGATGGCCACCAGTTTTTTGGGCTGTCCGAAAAATAATGCAGGCTTATAGTTATAAAATTAAAATAAATGATTTTAAACCGGTTTATTATATAGAAGGGTAATTGAAAGAAAACATAAAAACCTGCATTTCCGGCCAACCCAATACCACTGGGAAAAACTGTTCATAAAACAAACGTAAACAGCTTGGTTTTGTTAAAGCACGTTGCTATGTCAATTGCTTCATGGACGAAGTCCTATTCTCAGATAAGAATGAATTTAATATTTTTGGAACAGACGGTATGACTAGGTTTGGTGGAGGGCAGACGAAGAATTGAAGGGCAAGAACACCAAGAGCATAGGGTGTGGTTCGGTGATGCAATGGGGTATTTTAGTGCTAATGGCGGCTGAACGTTTGAATTAAATCAAGCCAGTAAGAACAGTAATTTGTAGAAATGATGAATGGTGGAGTGAGTGCGGTGTTCAGTCCTTTAAAAAAAATAGTTCCTACTCACAGTAAGTTGTTTTCAACGTCCGGATTTCGAGCTTTTACCTCATCATCAGGTTGAAGGATTTCTACAATCTGATGGTGAGCTAAAAGCTCGAAATTCGGATCGCTGAAAACAACTTACTGTGAATAGGAACTATCTTTTTAAAAGGATAGTAATTTGTATGTAGACACATATAAAAACCTTAGCAAAGTGTACAAAACTTTGGGTTTTATCAAGAACCAAAATGTAAAGCTCTAAGAACAAGAGAACGGTTCTATAATTGCAATGCGTCACGATCACCACCCGGCTTTATCTTTGATCCCGCTGGACCAAAACATGAAACCTCCGTACACTTGTGAATGACCAGCCTAACTGTGCAATTTTAAAAAAGGGGGAAAATAAATAAATAAAAAACTAGTTAAGGCGAGAAAAGGGAGATGAAGTTACAATATTTTGAAAGCGAAGAACAAATTTAAGAGAGGGCCAGACCCTTCCGTAGCACAGGAATCCACACTATCAGTGAGAACCTCAGACAGAACGATAAAATAATGAGGAAACAAGGAACTTACTCATTGGATACAAACAATCCAATAACCTCCTAACAAACTTTCAACTTTGTATGGAAAGAGGACGAAGTCCTATTCATTCTTATCTGAGAATAGGACTTCGTCCCTGAAGCAGCCTCTTTCCATCCAAAGTTTGTTAGGAGGTTATAGGATTGTTTGAGTGAGTTTCAAGTCTTGTTCATATTCAACAATATGATGGTTAGATAAAAATATATTAAAGGAGGCAGGAAAAAACTGGGAGTCCTAACAGGATTCTTAACAGTACACTGCAAACTAAATGGAATATGAAGAAGATTGGCATTACCCACTACGGCAAGTGAGCTTCTGCAAAGAAGCCTAGGAAACACACCTACTAAAAACCTGGGGCTCCGCATTTTCCCACAGGAGGAAATGTTTATGTATAACTTAATCGTACTTCTGTGTCGATGTTATTGATTTTAAGTCAGCTGTCAAGTTGGTTGAGCTATGTGGGTTAATTGATGCAAGAATCTGTACCAGCAGGAAAGGGGGCTAGGCAATTATTGGTTTGGATAATGAACCGGTACTAGCATCATGCCAACAAGCTGCACAAGATCAAGTGGTTTCAGCAGTTTAATTCACCAGGGCAGGTGAAAGGAGTGCTGTTGAAAGAGCAACAGCTTTATTTATGTAAAGCTGCCAGTGTACACTTCACACTGTGCATTGATGCAGCCTGCCGCAAAGGAATTAGCGCAAGCGTTAGAAGCAGTTGTATTTAATAAGCCTAAAATCGCTGTTGTAAATAATGTCGATGTTAAAATATGAAATTCGGCACATGGTATAGGAGATGCTTTAGTTCCTGTACCTGTAATAATCCTGTACGCTAGGTTGAAACCATCAGCAAGATATTGCTCAACTATCAGAAATAGAGCCAGGTAAAGTATTGACAGGTTTAACTAAGCATATTGTGAGTTCGATTAATTCAGTAGCGATTAATGATACATCATTAAATGTTGCATTTATAAATACAACTGCCGAATTCATCCACTGAAATCGGGCCAATTAACCAAATTTCTTGGTGAACTAGGTTTCACTGTTACAGTCCTTGGCAATGTGGGGACTGAGTCGGTCTTCAAACAAATTTGAAATCGCCTCTAAAAAACATGAATATGTCAGTCTGTAGACATATTTAAGTTGATTTTGCGTCTAGTTATTATATCTTCCAGATTCAAGATCACAATGATTAAGATTAAAACAAAATACGCAATAACATCCTTTATTATATATGTGTTTACAAACTATTATACAAAAATTAACATTAAAACAATTTATATTATTTTCGAATGGATGTTGCAACATCAGTACCTTGGGTGTTGACGAGCTTTTTAATACCCGACCAAACAGGACAAGCGATTGTACGCCCTTTTTTTAGGGATGGTCTTTTTATTTTCCCTATTTCACACTTCATACGAACCGCTATAATGATGACTTAAAATAGGTCGAAAGCTGGCCAGTACCAACTGAATTTGCATTATTCTTCAAGATCACACCTTGAGTGTCCGTGAGTGAAAAAGTGGTTCGATATTTCTAATACTGAAAATTACCCTACCAAAAGCCTGGGCAACATCTAGGAACGCACCCAAGCAATTCATTTTGTTCTCTAGAGCAGACGACATAGTGTCGACAACTCTGAAACCTTAGACTGATGTAGACGGAAGCCAAATTGGTGAAAGGAAATTATTTTATGAGTATCTAGGATAGGATTAATCGCTTAAAACGAGTCTTTCGAGGATTATGGACGTTACAGGAAGAAGGCCGGTGGGTCTGTACTGTGTGGTACCGTACTTCGAAACGTACTACCAACGGTCTAACCACAACATAATGCTATATGTATACGAACTACTAGGTTACTATGCTATAGGATACTCATTATCCTATCTTAAGAAAAACTGAATTTAGGAATACTTTTTGGGATACTTTATACCTATGGGTTTAATCAAATTCGAATGTACCAAAAGTTCATCTGCTAAACGTACAATACAATCGTTAGTACGTAAGGGTGTTAATTCCGGAGAATTCTGCACAATTCCACATCGCTAGCAACATTGGTTAGTTGTTACTAAAAAATGCCAGATAAGACAGGAAGAGGTACAGCCGTGGTTACCTTATTTTAATGTTTAGTATGTTTACATAATTGTTCGTATTTTTTCACCAATGTCACAATCGACAACAGTCAACAAGCATCAAACTTCAAAGTGACAATTTGGCCAAAAAGAAATGGCTTCGGTCTTCGATCAGTACGAGAACGATTTCCAGACGATGGTCTCGTCGAACAAAACGCCCACTTCCCCGGTAAGACGGAATTACCAAAATTATCGTGTTTTTTTGTTGTTTATCTGGCGATAATTTTTTGTTGTAAATTTTTTAAATGGAATTTCGCCAGGATATGTGCAATTAAATAATTATAGTTTAAATTGAATTGCTACGTGACTGTTAAAAAACGACCTTACAAGAAATTTTTTCGTGATGTTTATGTTAATATCCCCCTAATATTATTTCTATTATTATATTTTAATATATAATTTGTAATCGTAAATATTTTGATCGGTTGAACTTTCGAGTTTGACTCCGAGATATGGATCAATACGAACATTTACTATCTTTTCAGTTGATTACTTTCTCATCCTGTGAAAGTGTTTTTATTACATGCAATTAAAAGAAAAATCGTGATGATAAATTAATATATTATAAAGACAAACTGTACTAAGTAGAGAAAACATGTTCGTCAAAGAGGTGAGCTCAGTTATAAACAAATTTTCTATATTAAAATATAAATAATATATATATATACACTCGATGCTCAGTGCTAATTGAATGTTTTGAGATTGAAGTATAATTTGAAGGTACAAAAACAAAAATTGAAATGTGGAATAAATACTTGTGCTTGAAGAAATATTTTTTCAGATTAAATGTTCAAATTTTGTAAACATACGAGTTTGTTATATTGTATGCACTATACAGGGTGCCTCTTTATTGAATGCATTAACTTCACAAGCATATTCTATGCCCCAAATGGAAAAAAAAAACACCGTATAAACCATGGCCGGATTCTCAACTCTTTCGCACCTATCCAACATTGTTTTCCAACTATCCAGGTTTTCATTACAAATCTACTCGTAGATCTTGAGCTATTATTTTTTTCTCAACTCTTTCGCACCTATCCAACATTGTTTTCCAACTATCCAGGTTTTCATTACAAATCTACTCGTAGATCTTGAGCTATTATTTTTTTTTGGGGGGTGGGTGGTCAATGTGAAAAAGGTTAAATTTCCTTTAAGAAGTCACCTTCTAGAACTTTCATTTTAATTTTTGGTTTAAAAAACACTACTTTAAACAATTATCTTTTTCAGGTGTTTTTTTTTTGTTTGTATTCTCTGAATTATATTAACTGCACATATTTACAGCTGTTTTATTTAATAATTCATACAATTCATACAATTATTTGTTATTGTATTGTAATTCTAGTTCAGTTGTTTCTTAAATTAACTATATATGTTTTGTAATTAATCTTAATAATATTAGCTCTCCTTAGTATATTTGTAATTGTTGTATAATTTTAATAGGCTCAATACGTGTCATTAAGAGCAAAAATAGATAATAAATAGTTAAATTGTAATCTAGCACTAAATGATTTTCCCATGTATTGGTGAATTTTCTTTCAAACCACCGTAATTAAATATTTTTTATTAAAACTCATGACTTAAATTTAAATTTTTTCGGTCTTTTCTTTCTTCCACGAGGCAATTTGCTCAAACTCAACTGATTGCTGGTTGTTATATCTCCAAATTCAATGCATAACCTGAAACATCCATCACTAAATAAATTAAACTATCACTGAATACCTGGTATTGTTCTACTGTTTTTCAGTATAACAATAAAAGTACGAGTGTCCAGTTTTTGTCTTTGAGTGTATAATGCTGGAGAACAGTTTTGATAACCTGTTGGTGATTTGTGCCCTTTCCACTCATAACATTGGGACATATTCAAATCACAAAATTTAATAAATTTAATATAAATTATTCTGAATTTGGTTTTACTGATCATTTTGTAAATTTCAATAATTCTTCTTCAAAGTAATTTACTTTATCTCGAATATTTCTGTTTATTTATCAGTGCAAATTACAACAATGTAGATAAGTTATCCGATCAATTGGTTTTTACAAAGACGAAATGGTAAATTGCTATTTTCTTCTTTTTTTCTCAATATCAGTCAGAAAATTTCAGTATTGTCTTAAACACAATGCAGAAGGAATATCTGAAAAGATCTCACAACTTTGGATATGCTATTGATTATTCATTAAACAAAACATTTTTTAAAATGAAGTAAGCAGTCATTGAATTGCCCAATACTATTAAGTATTTTGACTTCAGTTAGTTCTTATTTCTTCCATCCATCAAGGCACTCCATAAGGATCAGTCCTCTCACCAGCCCTGTTTAATTTGTACACGTATGACCTTCCCTTTCCAGTTGGTGTAAATGTAGTACTCTACTCAGACATCACAGTTATATATGCCTCCTATCATGATATGTTAGAGATTCAAAAATCAGTTCAGCATGCTTTAAAGGATATATCAACTATTGTGATTATTGGAAACTGAATATAAACTAGTCAAAGTGCACTTTCCACTGTGACGACCATGCGACCCACCAGCCTTACAAATTGAAAGAAATGACATCTTGTGAAATCCTCCTGACAGCTCTGTTACCTGGATCTGAATCTGGAAAGAAGGTTATCTTGGATGTACCTCATAAATAAAAAGGTGACCAAAGGATATGCTTCTTTGGATATGCCGTATCCTATTATAAACTGCAACTCCAAGATAAGATGAGAACTCACTACACTAATTTACAAACCTATCATAAGGACCGGGCCCTTTATATGGGGAGCATCATGTTCATCCAGCATAAAGTGTCTGCAAGTATTGTAAAATAAAATAGTTCGAATGGCAATAAATGCCAAGTGGTATGTGAGGAACAACCAGATACACAAAGAACTACAACTCCTAACTATAGAAGAGACAATTCATGAGTGATTCAACAAGTTCCATTCCATACTTAATAAAGTCAAAGGTATTGACCATTTCAAACTAGGAGGAAAAAAGGCAGTATGTCTGAAACCATATTTGCTGCAAGACACGTACATAGTGTAAAAACGTCTGTCATATAGTGTGATAATAATTTATTTTAAATTATAATGATATTTATTAAGTAACACTTTCCCATCTTGTGAATACTATGCTTAAACCAAGTGGTCAATCTGATGTTTCAAATTGTTAAATGTGAAATATTTCTACCTAGACATGCGCTAACATAAAATAATTTTTTTCTATTTGAGCTACTGATTTTAATAAAAAAATTCTTAATGTTGTTGAAGATAAGTAAAGAGACCTTAAACATTATTATGTAGCTATTTGGTTAACATACTTTCTGCAATATTTCTTTTTAAATAAATTCCTCTTAAGGCTAAATAAGAACTTGGGCATATGCCAATAAATTTTTGTTCTTTATAGTAATTTTCTTTAGCTGATTGCCCAAAGTTGTTATATGCCTTCAAAACCTTTTTCAGGTTTTCTCCTTAAAACATTCCTATTTAAATTAAAATACAAAACAAGGCTTGGTCAAAATCCTATAAAGTGATTGTATTGTAATAAAGTTATTATTCTTTGTATAACTATATTGTTATTAAGATATTTTCAATGTCACAATTTTGATTTAGGCTTGTACCATTAATTTTTGAATAAGATTGTAATTTTTGTTCTAGTTTGAGGACGATGAACCACCAATGTTTCAAAAAGTGAAAACAAAGTTTGATCCTCCCGATCGAATCACACACTTGGTCGTATCAAACGACTTCAAGGTTCTGGCCATGTCCAACAATGTACTTCTCAGAGTCGATCTTCAGAGACAGAAATCTGGAGGTAATCAAATTGCCGTAATTGAATTATCTTATTCGGTATACAATTTTGTTTTTAGATAGTAAAACTGAAATCGACTTGAACAGGATCGTTCCCGGTGTCAAATTAGTCGGCTTGTTTTTAGACCCAACTGGAGAGCATTTATTTATAAGCTTTTCAACAGAGCTTCTATACTTTAATAAAAAATATAATAAACCAAAACCTGTACGTTTGTACGTATTTATTTTTTACTGTTTGACTTTGACTTGAGCCGTTCTTGTAAGGTTGGGAAAATGAAAGGCCATGAAGTGACTGCAGTGGCCTGGCATCCTGCAAATTCAGGCATCGCACCGGACATGACGACAAGGCCTATTCTCCTTGGAACGGTGAAGGGTGAAATTTATGAAATGCAAATAAACCCGGAACAGGATTCTTTTCGGTTCCAATCCGGTGAACTTTATTGCAAACGTGTAAGTAATACGAGATAAAATTTAGGTAGATCAGTATTTGAATTTTGATTTTTAAGGTTTTTGACATGGGCCAAAAGAAAGGCCAGGTCATAACAGGACTTGAGTTTCACAAAATGGAGAAATCCGATCATTATTTTGTGATTGTGTCTACACAAGAATTTTTATACCATTATGTGGGAAAAGTGAACAACATTGATGACCGGCCGTTATTACAACCCCTTTTCAACCAGTACATCTCATCGACTGTTCAAGGTACTTCAAAAAGCTATCAACTGGCTCTGAAGAATTAAATTTAAAAGGAAACAAATACAAAATTATAATTTATGGTTTCACAGAAAGTGTACAGTATTTACCAGGAAAACTTGAGACGTCTAGGCTCCAGCTTTACAGAACTCATGCTAGGGCAGTTCCTAATTCTCTCTGTTGGCAAACGAGTCTTGGAATATTTTGTGTCGAGGTAATAAAAATGTGATAAACAGTTTAATTTAATTCAATAATTGGAATTTGATTATTTACATCTATGCAATAATTATAGATAAATCACAGTTCTCCGTTGAAACTTCTTTCAAGAAATAAAATGTACAGCTTTCCTACAGAAGAATCGCCCGTATCATTTCTCAAAACAGAGTTTCACATTCTCCTTCTCTACGCCGATCGGATTGAAGGGATTTCACTTTTATCGGAAAATGTTGTTTTTAAAGATTATTTCAGTGAGGTAATATAATTGTGCTGGTGAAACTTTTAGAAATAAATTTGGATATTGAATTTTTCATTTTTCCAGATTTATGGGCCCTTGGTGAATATATGTCGGGATTTGGTAACTGGTAAGATTTGGCTATACGCACAAAGAGCTATTTTCATGTACGATGTTCATGAGGAAGATAGACACGTCTGGCTGGTAATTGAATACAATATTCTTTTTCAATATTTTTCAATTACTCATCTCTTTTTGTGTTAATTTTTGTTTAGATTTATGCAGAGAAAGGTGAATACGAAATAGCGAAGAAGTTTTGCAAAGGGGATGTCTTCAAGAAAGACAAAGTTTTAAGAATGCAAGCAGATTACCACTTTGCTCGAAAAGAATATGACATAAGTGCAGTGTTTTACGCAGAAACGCAAGCGTCTTTTGAAAAAATTGCTCTTAAATTTTTAGAAGTTGAAAACAACGAGGCACTAAAATTATTTTTGAAAAAGGTTGTTACTTTTTTTTTTTTCAAAATAAACTATGTACATATACATATTTACCTATACATTTTTTTTCCCAATAGAAATTATTAGGTTTAAATCAGGGTGATAAAGCCCAAATGACAATGCTTGTTTTATGGGTGATAGAATTGCTTTTAAGTCAACTCGGTGAACTCAAAACCAAAGGGAAAGACAACACTATACAGTATTCTCAAATTCAACAGGAATTAGATGAATTTCTTCTGCTTGAATCTTCTCAAGTAAATTCAACCATGTGTACTTAATTGTAATTTAGCCGTAATCATTGTCATTTTTGTATTGAAGGAATGCATTCTTAAAAACAGACAGGCGATATACGGTCTAATGTTTAGTCATGGCGATCAAGAAAATATGATTAAAATCGCAAAGGCCACTGGTGATTATGATAAGGTTGTGAGTCATCACATTAACCAAGGAGAATGCTTTAAAGGTATGTAAGTCGATATTGAGTATGCAATAAAAATAATAATAATAATTTTATATATATATAATAAATAATAAATAAATAAAAATATTGTAGCTTTGGAAGTTTTGAACCTACAACACCGAAACAAGAAACTCTGGTATCAGTACATCCCAAGCCTATTGCAAGAGGAGCCGACTAAAACTTTAGCTGCACTAAGGATGATGGGTAAAGATTTAGACCCGATTCTTATTCTACCTTCTTTAATCGCTGAATCTAGCACCCGAGTAAGTTTCAACAAAATTCTTACAAAATATTTTTTTCAAATAATTGTGATCATTATTTATTTGTAGCCATATGAAATGATCAAATATCTTGAATTTTGCACTAACGAATTGAACTGCCAAGAACAAGCGATACACAATTTTCTGCTTTTCCTGTTGGTCAAGTACAGCCCAGAAAAATTGATGACCTATCTCAAATTACAAGGTCTGACAAATCTCAATCACAACTGTTAAAATTTAAGTACGGTTTATGTATACAGGTGAAGAACTGAGTATGGTAAACTACGATGTGAGGTATGGTATTCGGCTATGTCGTCAATTCGATAGGAAAGAGGCCTGCGTCAAGCTCTCGTCGCTTTTGGGTCTTTGGGAATCTGCGGTCGAGCTCGCCCTCTCTGTCAGTTCCCAGCTCGCTGTGCAGACCGTCCAGTCGAGTCATTGTTCTCCTAGCCTTCAACGGAAACTTTGGCTGAGCATCGGTATGCCTAAAGTTACACTTCAGTCATTCTTATCACTTTATTTTATGCTTGATTTCCAGCCAAGCATGTAGTGATGCAAGAAAAAGAGGGCAACATATCCCAAGTGATGAATTTTCTCAAACAATGCGATCTCATTAAAATAGAAGATATATTACCATTTTTTCCCAATTATCCTACAATTGATTATTTCAAAGATGCAATTTGCTCTTCCTTACAAGTATGTATATTGAAAAGCTACTCTTATTGAGAACCTTTTAAATTTTTTTACAATTTTTTTATAGGAGTATAACCAGCGCATAGAAGATCTGAAAGAGGAAATGCAAGATGCCACAAAATCTGCAGAAGTTGTACGAAATGAAATACAATCATTTAGAACAAGGTTTTGATAAAAAAACATCCGTTTCTAATTTAGTGCGAGCGGCGTTTCGATGTAACTTTTCAATTTTCAGGCACACAATTATCAAATGGAATACAAACTGCTTCATATGCAAACTTCAGCTTCTGATGCGACCGTTTTATGCTTTTCCATGTGGACATTTCTTCCACTTCGACTGCCTTGTAACAGAATTAAAACCTCTGTTACCACAGAAGCAACAGGAGTCGCTTCAAAGTCTACGTGTAATTACTTCAATTAATTATTATTCAATTGAACAATGATTTATTTATTTAACAAATTTGACAGAGGCAAGAGAGCTCTCAAACGAGAACAATAGAAAAAGAAAAAGTCAGGGCTCAGATCGACTCCATTCTGGCAGCACAGTGTCTTTATTGTGGTGATATCATGATTGAGTCAGTTCACACCATTGACTTGTTTTTTAAAATTTACATCTTTATTTATTTATTTATTTATTTTTCTAGTTTAATTGATGTGCCTTTTATAAAAGATGAAGATTACGAGCGACTGAAGAAAGAATGGGAATGATTAAAAGATAATCAACAAGAGTTTGCAAATCACTCCAAATTAAATACTCTAATTTGAAATCAATATTATTTATATGTTATTATTTACATAAAATACTACAGCAAGTCAATTTACTATTTAATTAACAACATGTAAGAGCAAATTGTTAGTATTTATTTAATTTTCCTGTAAAATTACTGTATTGTAAATAAATGATGTGATTTATTTGATCCCTAATTTTTATGGAATATAAACATTGTTGAATTATTTTCCAATGTAGGATCTGCATGTAAAAGTAATTGATTTATGAAATATAGTTGCAAACAATTACAAGCTAAAGCTAATATGACGTGATTTATATTTTAAAAAATTAATTTATTACTCTCTCGTTTACTAGGTCATGATGGGAGGTGTCAGAGTCAGAGTGTCTCCCATTTCATTTGGAATGTTCTCTCCACTCTACTGTGTATGTACAGATTTTTCTGAAAATTTCAGGTTTTTCACTAGTTAGTCAACAAATTTTTGCATTATTTATTAATTGTTTATATATTGGTGAACTATTCTTATACACAAGATTCCTTACCAACTATAAAGCTCGTGGATCTCTGAGATAATGTGTGTTGTGGTGCATAAAATATAAAATATTATAACAATAAATTAACTTAATACATTTTAATTGGTTGGTTTTATTTTGTTCCTTAACTATTTGAAATTAAAATATACTATAATAATAATGGTATTCATTGGGAAATTAATTCCGTCCCGAGGAATATCAAGTACTCTGGGGTAAATGTGTGACGCCTGGAGAGTAAAAGTAAGTTATTAGCGAGCATGGGTTCAGATTCAGACCTCAGTCCTATCCAACCAGCCTCCGAGGTTGGGCTCTGGGTTATGTCAGGCCCCAACACGCTCTCACTCTTAAACATTCTTTACTATTTACATACCCACTTAGGTTGGTGGAGTACTCTATACTTCTCCATCATCCTTTACACATCCTATAATATAACACAATTGAGGTCAATGAACTCAATATGCCACCATCGACTCTCACACTGCACATTCACACTAGTAAATACATTCAGTCTCAACACACATTAGGGCACAATACTATCATTAATACATAAAATAAAACAACACAGTTAGTAGTTTGCTTCCAATCGAGGACCCAGATACTCGTTGCCATGCTTAAGCACAATTTTAATAAGGGGTGGCACTACACACTCTACATGGAGCCAAGGAAATTCATTCTTCAATTAGGTGGGACATATGGGGCAACCTTTAATCTGCATGCCGGACTTAAGTAGTCAACCTACTTTTTAGACAAAAGTAGTCAACCTGTTGAATTGATTCCAGCTATTTTATTAATTTATTATTTAGATTGTGTAAAGGTGCCAATTTAAATTTGATATCAGTTACTTCTATAGGAAAATTTTAATACCGATTCTTTTTTCAAATGATCAGCTATGGGACTGATTTTGAAATCTGAAAACAAAAATTAGCGTTAAAATGATACTTTAAACTTAAAAAAGATGCGAGGGATCAAGGAAAATCGTGGTCCAAAAAACAAATGCAGAGGTATCACAAAATTAGGTTTAGAACTTGGGAAAGAAGCCGATAAAAAAGCAATTGCAAACGAAAAAAGAAAGAAAAATGAACCTGAATCGAGAAATAAATCAAAACTAGCCGTAATGCGATTTTTTAAAATGTCAGTCAATTAAGTTTATATAAATAAAACTATGAAAAGATGACAATTTATGTGGTTCGACTTTCTTAATTCATCAATAGTCTCGATGTAACAAGACAAATAGTATTGTTGCACGTTTGAAATACAGAATTTCGTCTGTGAAAGTTTGTTAAGATTTAATATTCTGACAAAAAATAAAATTCTAAATTTAACCTCTTCGTGAACGATTGTACGACGATTTCAAGTTTCAAATTGCTTTTTTTGTAAAAAAGAAAAAAAAATTCGGAATGGCGAACTCATGACTTTTTGAGAGGGATTGATTCTGGCCGTAATTTCTTGTTTGCCTTTGATCAGAGGGAAGCGGGGTGGAGACGAAATTCTGACTTGGTGAAATGGGAATGAAATCGTAGTAGAACAAATTACAGTTTCAAAATAACATCTTTAATAAAAAAAATAACATCTTTCCAGCCATCTTCACATGTGCGTTTGTAACGCAGAACTCGATGTACGTAATGTTTCATCTTTTGCATTGGATTTTTGGGTCGCCTTTTGGACAATTTCTCATTCCGCTGAATTCCTTCCTCCTGGTATCGCACATCCTCGAACTCCATGGGATTTGTCTTTATTTTTCTCCCCAATTTGAACAAAGAGGCGAAGACTGGCGGTAAAGAGGAATACTGGGCACTCGGACACTCGTCGAAAAGCGGCTCCCTCCCGGCAATATCGACCCCTTACGATTACACCCACACGGCTCGGAACGTGGGTAGGACAACCCCCATGTTTCCAGAATGGCTGGAGCTCCCACCCCACAGACACCAGTTGTAACAATCGGCTGCCGTATGCTGAGGTCTCCATCCCACGAATCTGTCACCACGGATCTCTCTCTCTTCTCCGTCTCCTCAGTCTCATCCGATAAAAAGGGCCTGCATTTCATCCGGGGCCCTAGCCCTAACCCCGATATAAGGCCACAAAGGTACTTTTCTTACAGTTTAAACATTTTACATTTCTATTCAATCAATGACACGTTGCCATTATAATAAATCACTCCTTAGACAATTATTTTACAAAATTACACTACACCGAAAATGGAAAAAATGAAAAGCTAGCTAATTAATTATCTATATTTAACTCACAGTCTATTCTTGGTTTGACAAGAAAATTCACTAATTACAGTTAGTATTGAAGTAAGGTACAAGGAGCAGAGATTGGCAGCTTGTACAATGCTTATAATTACATATACATACATCGTAGAAAGAAAATATTGGAAATGTTACCTTTAATTACGAAGATAACTATAATTTCCAATTTTATTATCAGATGGGAAAATAGACTAAACAAACACATTTATGACTATTTTATTGATAGGAACAAAATTTATGCGATAATACACGCAATTTGTCATTTAACAATTGAAATTTACTGATTCAGTTCAACCGTTCAAACGGTCGGTAATGAGATTTTACCTTCTCAAAAATAATCCTATAATTTAAACACAAAAAAAACTTAAACTAAAAATTGATAAGAAGACAAATTAAAATAAGATTTCACTTTTTAGATAAAGAATTTGAAGTTAGTTAAAGAATTGAAATTTAGTTTATATTTTAAATCTTGAAATTACACCGGCCTTAAGATGCGTGGCAGTCCATCTCGAATATTTTACATCAGAATTTACGTCTTGTAATGTACGATTCTTTTAATGAAGTGCGGCTGATCGAGGTAGTATGAAGGAGCTGTCAGGACTAGGCGGTGGAAGCTCGATTCCATTAGATAGTGAGAAGCTCATTTTTGATTTGGATTTTGTTGAAAGAAAATTGTCCTCCCTTTCACGAAAACCTTATACATAATTTCAATTAATTATTCTTTTTTTGTAAGGTCTCGGTTGAGATGAAAAAGCTAGTATCACGAGCGGGATTCGAACTTTTACATAATATGCAGTCGTTTCAAAAAGTGCAATAATGACAGCAATATTCATAAAAACCATAGACACTTTTCAAATATATGCCGCGATGACAACGAATCTAGTTTTCGACGTAGGTGACAATTATTGTAATGAATCTTTGACTCGGACTTGAGTTCCGAAGCGAGTTGGCTCGTCTATAAATTCTATCTGTATCTGCGGGTCTTTTTCACTTTTCCTGTCTTGCAATCGGCACCCGGCTGTGATAAAACTAGTTCGTTTAACAGTTGACGAATGATTATTTGTAAGATAGGGCTCAATGGTAGTTTCCGTTTACAGCAAATTGTCGCCCTGAACCTCACACCCTATGTAGGCTTGTGTCATCAATTTTGAATTTTCCAAACGGTCGGTTTCACATGCTATAATTTCCTTCTTCACCGATCCAAAATATCATCCGAATTCCGTACTTCCACCTAATTTTTCATTTAAGGGATTTCATGTAAAAAAATTCACATTATGAACATAAAAATAAAACCAATGGATTAACACCGGAAAATAGAATAGGAAACGAATTCCAAAAATATTATCAAAATTTTCATCAAAACGTTACCTTATTTTCAGTATGACCGGATCAACTTGGATATTTTACAACTCAATATAATTTTATGATGTGTTGTAAAACGTGTACGTACACAATAGATTATGCTTTGATCTGACGTATTTTTTCTTGTGTTGACATCGTTCGAAAAAGAACCCGTTGATATTTTTGCACAAAACATTTGTGATACTATACCAGTAGAAGGAGCGGTAGTGAATATTTTCTTGGGGGCGTTGGAGGTCACAACGCTTTAGGCGTTGACTCGGCGCTCGTCACTGTGAGGTCCCGGGTTCGAATCTAGCGTCGAATCCGGTACCCAGAAGGTTCATATTATCTCTAGGGTTGAAATACCCTCGTTTCCAATTTCAATCATTGTATGCGTTTTTTTTTTTAAGAGTTGAAATTTTACTCAAATATAGCAAGTTTCATCTAGGTATTATTCATGTAAGGAAAGGTGCAAAGAAACTCAAAACACATTTTTTATTTTACTTTAAACCTTCAAGAAAGTGCCTTTTTTTACCTTGGCATTTTGCAAGAGTCCATTGCGAAAAGAGAGCTTTCTAATTAGAGTTTTCACATGCAATTAATAAAAGCCGATTGCAAAGTTCAAACGTCTTATACTAATAAAAATAGTCTTTTCCTATTAACAAAGCAATCCTAAGTGAAAATTTCTCACGCCATTCCAAACAACTTAAACTTTGGCCAATTTATACGCCATAAAAATACAATTTTTAAATTACAACTATGATTCTAGAAAAATTAAATTGCTCTGTTGACTTGGGTTGGTTTTTGTTTAAACTATGTCCATTGTTTTAAGAACCAAAAAACGTTACATGAAATGTAAAGGAAATAGAAGATATGAAAGATTAATTAATTTTAACAAATTACTTTACGGTTCCGAGATTTCTCTTTCGCTCGATCTTCAAGAGTATCTCGTCCTTTAGTTACAGTGAAAGTTCTCTGGGTATACTAAGGGTAAGTTTGAGAATAATTTGGAAAAAAAGTGGTTCAACCGCCTCGTTTGTAGTTGGATGTTATGCCCTCCTTTATATGACAGGAATTGTTTTACTTGTATTTCAGTTAGAGTCGCATCGACTGTATTTCTTGCACGGTTTTGTTTTCGTTTTAAATCTTGCATCTTGCATTGTCTGGCGGGCATTTTCGCTTATTATTTTTCACTCCGTTCTTCTTTCATATAAATGACTGATGGAAGGTTTGTGTTCTGTTAGAGGTAGCTCTTTCTTATCGTGGGCATCCGCTACTTCTTCATTTCCCTTGGTTCCCCACTCTAGATGGATGGTGAGTCTGTTTTTGTGGTTCTGAAATCTGCAATCCTCGATCTGATGATGTTCGAGTCCAGTGGTAGTTTGGCCTTCTGACACGATAGTTATGTCTTTATTTTCCATTGAAATTTAATAAGCACAACTCTCAAATGCGCGCTTCAGTGTTTCAGTGTGTATGTAAATGTTTAAATCTAGAGACAAAATACCGTATGTACTTCCGTTTTTAGATTTTAGATCCGTTAGAGAGTCGAAAGATTGTAACTTTGTCGATAATTATTTCCCTCCTTTGCTACCTTTATTTTTAGCTATCGCGCTACTTTCAGAAGTGTTGTACTCTGAACACAAATATACTGATTTTTGATGACATCGACGGACGGAGCTACATGTATCAGTACATTTACTTGGTTTTCAGGCCGGCGGATATACCTGAAATATTATGGTTTGAGGAAGAGAACGAAGTGATAAAAAGCTGCGGAGCGCTGAGTTCGGCTTTAGGCCTCCAAAAATCCTTCAGCACCTCCGACATATCACAGCTACCGTCTCCACCCGGCAATCCCGACCATCTCAGATCTGCTGTTTCCGACATCGCGCTAAGGTAACTCGCATCATCAAATGCTAACGTTTCACTGTACTGACTGAATCCATTGTACACGCAGCAGTGCACAAAAGTACAGCTACATGGTAGGCGGCGGAAGGCTGGACGCTAGCTCCAGATCTTGCAGTACGTGGGTCGCTGTAGGCGACGTGACTTCTCAGCTTCCTTCACCTCACGGGAGGCCTTCTGCACCGCATCTGGCACTCACGCCCGCCGATCTGGTCAGATCGGTCAACAAGAAAGTAAGCGTGTTTTTATTCGATTTTTTTAAAGATCTGGCATCAACCTGCCCTTTGTTCCAGGTCCGGCAGAATTACATAAGGCGGAGGTTGTTGACTACTTACAAAGCTTTGGAAAGGCTTTCGCAATCAGAATTCAACTTGGATCGGCTGGAAGCCGTCGCTGCGGCTGCCGCGACCACACCTTCTGCCAACAGGCTGTCTGTGCCAGCGCCGGATTCTGTCATCAGGTAAAGATTTAGATAAGGATAATACGAACGAACCCAGCGACGGATTTGAACCCTGTTTTTTTCCAGATCCGTGGGGAAACACAGAGGCATTAACTTAACTCTCACCTTATCCGACGTCGAGAGGGAGAGAGGAAAACCTTTGTCAAAATACGATAGGAACATGATGATTTTCAACTGGCTTCATACGCTGGACGACGCGGAAGCGATACCACCTTAGAAACGGACGACTCTTCGAAAGAAATCTTCATCGAGATATCAGTGCCCGTATTGTTCAATTCAACCCTCATCCCTTCCCGCAGAACGAACCCTCGGTCCGTCAAACCGTTTCAGTCTTTCTCGAAGAAAATTTCATTCCTATTTTATGAAACCTACGTTACTATTAAATATTACTATAATTATAAAACATGTTATTGTGTATTAATTCATTTTAAATTGAATAAAATATTTTTCTCTATTTGATTTGGGTTTGTAGTTCGTTAAATGGAAAAACTCTTTGACGAATGTACAAATCAGGTAAATTGTGAAATTTCCTCTTGTGGTCTGCGGGGTTTGATCGTAAATTACCATCTTCCCCTATCTTCGCTGATGTTTGGTTGGTACCAACAAAAATCAGTGAGGATAGATAGACCAAGATGATAGGGTACTATCAAATAACAAATCGGGTTGTTTAGCAAACAAAAAACGACCGAATAAATATGAAGTTCCAGTGACAAAAATAACAATTCATATTATGGAATAAAGAAATCTAAAAATTACCAAGACATTGCTGTCGACAGTAGTAAGATGTGTAAATAAATTGTATGTCAACAGAACAGATTTCGTTTTCACATTACTTCTAATTTATCATTGAACATACATAAGCATTGAAGATAATAAAGCAAATACTTTACTGTTATTTTTATTAAGATTAAACAAATTATATGAAAAGGAAAACGGGAACATTGTGATTCCTTTTTTCGAGGAAATTTCTGACCGGTTAACGGCAGTTGGAATTTCCTCAACAGGTTTTATTAATAATTCATCAATACTGAACTGTGACCGTCAGATGAGTCTCATCGATTTTCCTTCAGCTGATGATCGCCCAAAGCAAATATTCTTGGTCGACAACGGCTAAGATTGTAATCACTTAATACACAAGCAGAATTATATTTCTAAAGTTTTGAGTAGTAAGTCCAAAGATCCTTTTTTTATTGCTTACTAAGAAATAACAGAAGATTTTCGTACAACCACAGATAGATTAGATAATAGATTATAGCAGGAACCGGCCTCTTTACGACTTTCACACCGCGACCAGTGTTGGTCTATTGTACACCACCATTGTTGTCTAGAGCTCCTCATTAACTTTTTTACTAGAGCTTTCCGTGTTTAGGAGGCCATTTCTCTTCCGGGAGTAGGAATCTGAGCCTACAAAAGACTTCGCACTAGCAAAGGATATGGTTCCGATGTCCCTTATTCTTGGTAACACCTGCACCGACTTGTGTCTGCGACTCCGAGTCTATACAAATACCTCCGGAATCTGCAGTGTCCAGTTAGCAGTCCAACTAGTAGTGAGATTCCCTCCTGCGGTCTGCGGGGTGATAAAACTATTGTTTGATAGTTACTTATCATCTTGGTCTGCCTATCTTCGCTGATTTTTGATAATACAGGCGCGTTTCGGCATTTCGCGGTCTTGGGTCTTTGGGTGGTATATGTGGAGTGAAGTTTTGGTTATATTATTCTAGTTCTAACACGTCCTAGTTTTCGTAATTCTGCGATAGTCCTTCGATTAACGTTGCCGCCTGCATCCTGGGCTACATTCCCATTGAACAGAGGACTTTTTTTTAATCCAATGTATGATTTTCGGCAGTTTGGTATGCCATTAAGGGTTCAGGGCCAATAGGTGTCCTCATCTAACTTCCTTGGCCAATTTATCGGTCTCTTCATTGTCTCTCTGCCCTGTGTGCCCTGGTATCCAGACAAGGATAATTTTGTTTTCTTTCCCAATGTCTGACAGGGCACTACTACGATCGACTTTACCACCGTAATTGCCCTTGAGGCTGTGTTGATGGGGCAGCTCTCCTAAGGACGTTTTTCCGCGTCACAGACCTCTTGGCTTCAAAGTACTCAACTCCTTTTTGCCAGGGGCCATTGACCCCGTACCTATAGAAAAAAAGAGTCTGAAGGTGGCGAAATCGGTGAGTCGAATAACGTACGACTGGAGGACTGGAAACTTAAGCGCCCACAGAAGAAAAACACCGAGCTTACACAGTGCGCTAATGCACAACACAGGTGAACAAACAACATACTGCATACTGTCGGTTCCGTTCACTCTTAACTTAATAGAATGCAAACGAACAAACAAATGCACAGGGAATCACAGAAATGGATGACCTTGCGCGCACCTGGGGCAGCGATTGGTCATATTACAGAAAGACATTCGTGAGGTGTATACAAGGTCTTCACTTTGTGTTCTTATAGGTCATCCTTGGAGGTACAATTTGAAGTAATTGATCAAAACTACACGCACTCATTCTATAGTATCCGAAAAATTTCTTGGGGTGTTCCCTCAAATGATGTTTTTTATAAAATTGCTAATGAGGGGGATGCACCCAATATTTTCTTTCCTGTTTTCTTTTTTACCTGAAAACAAGCACAAAGCGACTGCATAACCAATCTGGATGAGATCCATTTTGGTACTCTAATCGTAGTGCGCGCGTCCACTGTTCAGTCGCGACGTCTGAAAATCGCAAGTGCTTAGCCTCCCCAAAGGAAGAATTTTGATAGTGTTTTAAAAATCCGTATTAACTGCACGGCAGAATCTGTGCTCTTTTTATTAAATTAATGTGGCATTGATAGTAAGTAGACCAAACAGCAGGGGAATATTCAACTATTGGTCTTATTTGGGATTTGTGTAATAATGGCTCGATTTCGGAACGAACAATGGACGGACCAATGTGACCGGACAACTACGAACCTCTGAAAAAATTAACATGTGAATGTATTTGATTTCATTGCCGTTGTGGTTGAAGTGATTCAGCGGCCTGCGAAATATTTAAAAATTATACTCCAGAAAAAGTCCATAGCAGAGTTGTGTAGCTGTAAAGCAGACTGTTTTCCACCGTAAACTTCAAACTATGAAATCTCAATACAAACGCCGACAGACAAACCGGAGAGTGGAATGCAAACGCACCTTCCTATACTTGTTTAAACTAAACACTTTTCAAAACTTTTCGGTTCAAGAATTAGGTATGGTAGCAAAATTGTTTGAAGAAAAAGAAGGAAAGAAATTTGATTAATTACGTTACATTCTACATAATCCCCTTACCTTCATCATTTCTGTAAAGAAATTGGATTGTGCGGAATTAGAGCAAAATAGTTAAGAAAATTTGTTGTGTATCCAATAAATTTAAAAAGAAAAAGAAGAAGGGTAATTCTACAGTACACGAGGAAGACACGTTTTATATCCTCGAACCAATTCGATTAATTTTTTTTTGTTCATCACTACAATATGAAAACTTCAAAATGAAAAATAGGCATTAACGCCACGCACCAGTTCAGACAAAATAATTCATACTAAGCGTGCTAATGTTATACACGGATATGGACTGATACATACACGCGCCAGACCAGTTCAAATGTTCTTGATGACAATACTGACCGTTGCTAGCGCTCATGTGTACGTGCAAGTTCCGCTCAATTCCCGTAAAAGTGAATTCTTATATAGGTATTATATGTAACAATTTTTCGTGTGTCTTAGATGTATGAATCGACCGGCATAAATACTCGGCATTCGGCGAATCCTGCATGTCTGGAGCCACCTAGGCTAAACCATCGAGCATTTGCAAACTCGGTAATAATACCAAATTACAGGTTCATGACCACAAGATTCAGCAGCTCATGGTGCGTAACGCGAAAAGGGCAAAACAACAGTTGACTCGGGCAGGTCGACAGATCGCAGGATCGTCAACTAATCGAGATCTTAGTTCCACCCTTCGCACCCTCTATCCCTTCTCGACCTCTGGAAGCCGTGATCCCCTCCACGGAAGAATAACATCAACCGTCAACGCTCACACAACAGCTGAACCTTCCTCAACAGAAACGTCAGGTGTGCTCTTCACTCTCCTCACTTCTCGGTCCGGCAAAAAGTAACCAGAGAGCCTTCAGACGTACGAGCCACGAGGCCATGACATTCCCAACGGACCTGCTCAACGCCGATGGGACCGTCCGCTGAAAAATGACTCGCCCCATGCAATGTCTAGTATTTTTGTGTAATAATGACTGTGACTTATACAGCGGAAGTCGCTACGTGCCGAGGCTTTGGCTGTTTCCTCACTCTATTATTAAGGTAATTTAAATATCTCGCAATCTCGAAAATTAGCAGTTATTTATACGTTATGCGGCATGTTATTTTTAAAGCGGTAAAATTTTATTATAATAACTTAAAGAATTGTAATATATCAAATTGTCAGAATGTATCAATTGGTTTACTTTTATTTAAATTCATTGATTAAATTTAAAATGTTTCGAGGTAGGATTTTCTTTTTAGCGGAAAAATGAAACTTCTCGGCGACCTTGGCGCTTTGACGAATTGTCATTCGTGTGAAACCGCTTTCCAACTATTCTGACATTAAACTACTAATTAAAAAACCGGAGGTTTCACTCAGGGTCCGTTTCGTTTCGCTTGTTTGTACTCGGCCGCCAATCGCCTGTACGACGGCAGAGCCTGGCAAACGACTCATCGGCCAATAAAATCCTAATATATATTTATTTATTATTAAAATTGGCCCATCTACTTTAATTTGAAATTTTGATTTTTGGAAAAAAAGTTCCTTCGAACTTTTGTCTGTCAAACAATGTCGAGTTTGTCGTTTCTACCATCCTTTTTTCTACTCTTTGTGTTTTGCCCAGAAGAAGCGCTTTTCAAAATGCAATTTATTTCAAATGAATAAATGAAATTTTTCGTTGTCAAGAAATCAGCGATGCATACTTTTGTGGAAATAAAAGAACGAAAAGCAACCAATAAAAAGTGAACCTGTACTGGGTGGGTGGTGTATTGGGTCTTCACCAAAACATCGTGCAAAGTCGAAACACGTTTGAGTAAAACATACACAAACACAAAAAAACACACACACACACACACACAAAAACGCGAGTGTAGAACTGTGGCGGACCAATTAAGTAACCAAGTGCCGGTTTAACATGTGTGCACAGACACTCACCAGGGGACGACCAAGTTGGTGGGTCACGGATTGGACCAAACTTTTTTGGTAATTCTACAGTCCAAAAGATCTGACGCCTATCCGCCACTTCTTGCGGATAGGTCTTGGTTTCGCAAAAATTTTTGTTTTTTGAAAGTCGAATTTTAGTTTTTTAATAATTTTATTTCGACGTTCTACTTGTTCCAATCAAGTATTTGAACATATCTTTTTACAGCATTTTTTATATAGAATGCAATAAAAATGTAGTATAGTTATCAGAGTTTATCAGTAACCAATTTGATTCAATGTTTATTAAAAATGTCTACCAGAGCCAGTCAATCAAAATTTCAACTGACTACTTGTTGACTACAATGTTTAATTAGCGATTTTTGACCCCTAAAATTTTGCTGATTTTTGAGAAGAAGTGATCAATATCTCTGACCGAAACGGTTAAAAGGATTTTAGCGACAAAGGACCATTTGGCAGAAGAGAAACGTAGCTTTTTAACGACGTACGCACCAAAAAAATATATAAAAGGTCTATAAGAAAACACAAAATAGCAAAATTATTTGTCATAAATTAACCTCGTTTTTAAAATGGAAATAATAGTCCTATTTTAATGATGGATACAGTTATAAAATTCACTTGACAATTTCTTTAACATGAATTATCAACCAGTAAAATCGGTCCACAGCATTTGTTAAAAATGATGTGAACTTGCACCAGGAATGCCAGTCCGGCAGAAAGATCGTAGAAATTACAAATCAAAAAATTAATTTACACTGACTTCAGCGAAAGTCGATATCTAAGGGTTTTGTTGTAAATTTATTATAATGGACGTTGATTGGCAAAACTATCCAACAGATTCTCACGGAATTCAAATTCATTAATTATGAAACAGGAGGGACCAAATATAATACTGATTGATTGGATTTATTTATTTATATTGTATAAAATAAAATATTAGTAAAAATTATAAGTATAAAGTAACTTTAATTGACTCGGCGCACATCACGGTAAGGTAAAGGTCCGGGGTTCGAATCCAGCGGCCTTGCATTGGAACACGTCATACTTACAAATGGTCTTTTTGAAATACCATTTGTAAGTAGTCAGTTGAAATTTTGATTGACTGGCTCTGGTAGATAGACCTCGTAGTTGAAGTGCCATCGTAAAAGAAATGAGCGTAAATCTTTATTTAGATATTTCATTGTTGGTTAACATAAAAAATGTTCTAAAATGATAGATATACTTTTATACATTTCTATGGCACGTACGTTGTTAAAAAGCTATGTTCCTCTTCTTTCAAATGGTCTGTTTGACGTTAAATTTTTTTAAGCCGTTTTAATCAGATATTCCGATAACGACTTCTTAAAAATCGGAAGTATTTTATGGGTCAAAAAATCGAAAAATTTAAATTCAAACAAAAATTATATTTAGAGGTTTCTAGAGGTGCAAAAACGAAATTTCGTATTAGTTAAAAAAAATTATGATCTAGTTTACTTGAAAAATATTTGGTTTTTATACATTTTTGGGTTATTTTTGAACTTTGATAGCTTTTATTGCAATGTAAAAAAATTATATATATTTATATTGTAAAATGATGTATTCACATAATTGATTTGGCAGGTAGAACGGAGAAATAAAAATATTAAAAAAAAACGGAAAATTTCAACATTCAGAATTTTTTGGCGAAATCAGGGCGTATTCACAAGAAGTGACGGTTATGTGAACGACAATCGTAAGTGTAGAATCACACACAAAAAAAAAAAAATCTAAAAAAAAAGTCCAAATCCGTGACCCAACCAACCTGATACTCCCTTGTCAGACCAACACCTACCATCAATTTCAATTAAAGCGATTAAATATTTCTGTGTTGGTAAAAGTAAACTGATAGTTGCAATATCATTTTTTCAAATTACATGCGGATAATATTTGTTCTTCTGCCTTCTCATTTCTTTAAAATCGAAAGATGTTTGAGTTCTCGCAAAAATTCTCTAACTTTAGATTTATTCTCAATGTTTAGAAGATGTATTTATCTGATGTGATGTAAAATTGTTAAACGATTCGCTTGTTAAAATTGGGCCGGAAAATCGAGGAAACAAAATGTCATCAAGTGTAAAGTGTTTGCTTCATTTCCCTCAAACGGCATATGACGGTTTTAGTTTTAACTAAAATTTCCTCTATAATCGTTCGAAGCGGGATTTTACCAATTTAGCTTTGTGAAATATAATTTGGCCAAATAACATTTACTGTGTGTACGAAACCGACGTCACTCTTCTAACTACACGACAGAAAGACGAAATTGAAGATTAAAACAATGACCTGAATATTAACGAGAGGACGCTAAAATTCGGAAAGATTCAGCATTTTACCCCGGTATGAAATAATGTCTATGAAGACCATGAACATGTTTCAACTTTAAACAACAACTTTAACTACAAATGAGTGGATTACCCCATCTGCATGAGTTGATCAGTGAAAAACACAACAAAAATCACAGGAAACAAACAAATTCCAATAAATACAACCCAATAAAATTAAGTACGGGCTTCAGCACATTAAAGTAAATTAAAATGTCCAATTTAATTATTAAATTCATCAATCAAAAATTTGCGGAATTTGACTGCTCAGAATAGAATATATATAATACTTACAATAGATTGCATGCATATTACATGGAGTGCCAGTTTATATACCCTGTATGACCTCCTGCTTCAGAATTTAATTTGTAACAGGTGTTTCAACAAGACAAAACAAAAGTTAATTTAAAGGTAAAAATCTTTTTAAAAAAAACCGCCAAGTAGGCAAGCAATTAAAGAGTTTTTCACTCCACTATGCGTGTTCACCAAGTCCAAGTCATAGTCCCCAATTTGTCGAACTAACTTATAATCCTTAGCTCACACCGTTCAAGGAAGTTCTCTGTAAGGCGTTTTGTGGGTGTGCACCGTGCCTGCGTTAATGTGCAAGTCTAGAAGCGGGTGTAGCGGGTTGATAAAGTCACCAGCCGTAACAACTTATTTTACGTAATGTGAAGCGAGGCGATGTTCGATCGTGTGGTCGAAATCCGTGAGGGACATCCATACAGAGCATTGGTCTTACCACTACTTTATAGAGGAGAGGATTTTTTTACTGGGGGCAGTTTAGAGTTTCTGCACAGTAAGGGAAAAGACACGAATTGAAGCTTCGCCTTTATTACTTACAAGGGCAGCGAAAGTTAGCCTACTGTCATCTATTACTACAAGGTACGTAACAGTAGCAGACCAAAGTATCCCTCCCAGAAGATGACATGCCGATACAACACAGGCCTACTCTTTGTAAAGGATAGCCTCAGTTTTAGTGGGATTTATTTTGGTACAGAAACTAATAATCGTTTCTACATGGCCCTTGTAAGTCTACTCGCTATTGCATCCACTCTTTAGTGTAGATGGTAATGTCATCAGTGTACAAGGCAATCTGCTATCGTTAGGTCTTCGCTTGTATTGAAAAATATAAGAAAAAGAACAGGTCCTAATTTAGATCCAGGTTGGGCACCAGCAGATGCGTCACAATGAGACAGGGTCGAATTTAGCTACTTGGATGCATAGCAGTAATGCGCTTTCCATTTTCTTCCATTTAGCACATCGATATATTGGTCCGTGCTCAATTTAATTTTACCGAGATGCATAACTCTGAATTCTATCAGAATCGGACAGTCCGCAATGAAGTAAATGTCTCATTTTGACTTTTTGTGTGAGCATCGCCAACTTCCGGCAGGTCGATTAACATGAAAATTCAGATTCACAAATCCCCCAAGGTGTAAAGATACAATGCATTAAATCGATTCCCGTCTAAAGGTAAACAACAAAAGTAAAAAGTCAGTGTATTTTTAGGTAGGGTGGATATTTTCTTTATAAAAGCCTTTCAATATCTTTATGTATATCCATATTTTTGTTTTGACGTCTACCCTACAGTCTGTCTATCCTATAAACCATCAATCGTATTGTTCGCAACGTTTTATGACTAATACGAGTAAATTAGATAAAAGCCGATGTCAATATCGAGGAAACATTGAAATCGTTTTATTTTCAAAAGCCGAGTCACGATAAATAGAATTGTAACAATTCTCCTTTCTTTAGGGCTTACGCAACTAACTGATAAAATTCTGGCG